CGCGTTATCGAAGGCACCATGACCCCGCTCACGATCATCCCCGACCGCGAATTTCTCGCGCTCCACCTCACAACGGCACCTGCAGAAGGGGAGGCAACGGCAGAAGCAGAAGCAGAGGAGCCGGACAACGAAGCAGAAACAGGATAAGAAGAGGAAGAACCCCCACTCCAGATCCCGGAACTCACGGTGGAGGAGGCAGCAGAGCATCACACCCGCTATAAGCGTACCTCCGGCCTTCGCGCCGAGGACGATCTCTGGCACCAGCGGATGGGCCACCCCTCGCGCCAGACACTCGCCAACTGCCTCCGAGCAAAGGTTTTTCCGCCAGGAGCACTACTACGCCCCGACGAGACGGAGTTACAGCACACCACCCCTCATCCAACCACTTGCACTGTCTGCCCCACAGCTGCACTCTCCCACACCGCCTATCCCTCTCTGGAGCCCAGCACCAACCGCTACAAGAAGTTGGAGAAGGTGTACAGCGATTTCATCGTGCTCACCTGTGACGGCATCAACGGCGAGAAGTATACCCTCACCTTCATCGATGCCTACTCACGCCACGTGTGGATCGCCAACGTCGACGCCCGCTCCAAGGCTCCGGAAGTGTTCCGCGTCTTCCTCGCGCACGCGCAGCGACAGTCGGGGAGGAAACTGAAGATCTGGCAGAGTGATGGGGCAAAGGAATTTTGCAGCAATGAGCTGGAGAGTGTACTCACCGAGAAGGGGATCAGGCATGAGATCTCTCTCCCCTATGCTCAACATCAGCAAGGCGTCGCAGAGAGGGTCAATCGCACGCTCATGACCAAGGTCCGCGCCATCATGAATCAGTCCGGCCTGCCAAAGAAATTCTGGCCGCACGCCATGAACCACGCGGTGCGCCTGCACAACCTCCTCTCCACCACCGCCAACAGGGATAACCTGTCTCCTCACATGAAGTGGACCAGCTCAAGGGGAGACCCCTCCATGCTGAGGGTTTGGGGGTGCATGGTGCAATACCGGCCGACCTCGGCAACAATCGGCAAGTTCGTTCATCGTGCGCGCTTGGGAGTTCATTTGGGGCTCAGTCACGAGCACAAAGGCTGGCTCATTCTTGACATCGACAGCAAGGAGATCGTTCCCGCACGTGACATCCTCTTCTAGGAACGACTCACCCTGAAGCAGTGGATCGAGGACGAGCGTCGAAATCAGGCACGCGGCTATGTCAACAGCGGCCGCATCTTCGCGACCCCAGAAGACACAGCAGCAGCGGCAGTACTGGACCGTGACGACACCGACGAACATCCCGGCATTCCTTCTCGCCCAAGCGACGACGACGACGATGACAGCGATGACGACCCCGCGCTAGGACCATCACGGCGCCAAGCAGAGCCAAACACCGCAGCACCCGGCTATGAGAGCGGAGACGACGACGTGGTGGAAGTTCCCACCAACACAGACACCACTAATGTATCAGGCCTTCAACTCCTCGGTCTGCACACATCCGTCTCTACTCTTGCACGGGCCGTGGAGCCAAAGAATCCTCGCCAGGCCCTAACCGGCCCTCACGCCAAGGAGTGGCGTGCTGCGATGGATGCGGAACTGAAGGCGCTGGAATCGCATGACACCTGGGTCCTAGTCGATCGTGCAGCAGTGAAGGGGAGGAGGGTGCTCAGCGGGAAGTGGTTTTTTCGTCTGAAAACTAACGCTGACGGCACTATCGAGCGTTTCAAGGCACGCTGGGTCGTACGCGGGTACGATCAGCGCCATGGCATCGACTTCGAACAAACCTTCGCTCCCGTCAGTCGCCACACCTCAGTCCGGATTCTACTCGCCATTGCCGCCGCGACGCACCTGCCACTGCGTCAGATCGACGTAAAGAACGCGTTTCTATACGCGTTGGTGGATGCCACTATCTTTGTGGAGCAGCCGCACACCTACGGGGAAGGTGATCCCAGGGTCTGTCAACTGAAGAAGTCCCTCTACGGGATCAAGCAGGCGCCTCGCCTCTGGCAGCAGCACCTGCACAAAATTCTCCTCGAAATCGGCTTCAAGCAGCTTCCACACGACCCGGGAATGTATCGTCTTCACTTCAGTGGCGACTACATCCTCCTGACAGTCTACGTCGACGACCTGCTGTAAGGCACCTGCAACAAACTCCTCGACCAGTTTCAGGAAAGCCTGGCGCAGCGCGTGGACATCACCATCAACCCCGAAGTGAAGCAGTTTTTGGGGTTAAACATCACTTACGCGCCAAAAGCAATTCACTTGTCAGCCTCCAAGTACGCAGAGCAGCTGAGGGAACGCTTCAACATCTCTCCCGCACCACTCTCAACTCCCTACCGCAGCCCCAACACCAACTCCAAATCGGACAGCAAACCACTGTCACCCGCAGGACTTCAACTATACCAGCAGCAACTGGGTTGCCTGCTGTTCGCCTCTGTAACCTGCCGACCCGACCTTTCGTACATCGCTAGCCAATTGGTGCAGTACTCTCGCAAGCCAGTAGCTGAGAACCAGCTGGACCTGGAACGCGCCCTGCAGTACTTCATCTCCACACCTGACATTGGGCTCTCCTACTCCATGCTGACGACGACCTCCTTCAACCTCAACGGCTACGTGGACGCAGATCACGCAGCTGATCCTGAAAATTGACGGTCCCGAACCGGCTTCGTTTTCCGCTTGGAACCAACTGGGCCAATCTCCTGGAACTCACAGAAGCAGGAACTGGTTGCCCTGTCATCGGCTGAAGCAGAATACATCGCCGCGACAGCAGCAGTTTGCGAAGGGCTGTACCTGCAGGAGCTGCTACAGGAAGCGAAAATTCCAACTTCGCCTACCTTCCGCCTTCACTGCGACAACCAGAGTGCCATCAGGATCGCGAACAAGCCAGGTTTCGTGAACCGCACGAAGCACATTGCACTTCGGTACTTTTTCGTCAAGGACGAAATTGACCAAGGCAAAGTTGACCTCGCCTATTGCCCGACCACCGAGATGGCAGCAGACTTTCTCACCAAGCGTCCGCCGCGTCAGCAGTACAAGCACTGCTCTGACCTTACCGGAGTGGTCAAGCGAGTCAGCCCCTACTGCGACCAGGAATGAAGAGGAGTGTTACGATATGAAGATTTATGAGTAAGGCATTCTTGTATGCTGCAGGAGCCGACTCTACCGAGTACGAAGTCGAGGAGTCAGAAGAGTCGAAGCGACACAGCAACCGTCAGACCAAGACCGATGCAGGCAGAAACATTTGAAATGAAAAGAGCGGGAACAGGTTCAAAACGGGTTCCCGCGCCGCACGGTTTGAATTTGCTGTAATAAGGGAATGTACCCCTTAGAGTACATGGCTAGTCTAGGTCTTTTCGTATTCCTCTGTACTCTTATATAAACTCGATGTATGCATGCTATTATCAACTCAGTCATTTATATTCACTCTGACCTGAGATTCAAATCTTCCGCTGCAACACTACTCTGCGATCAACCCTGAGCGATCCTTCGCTAAGTCCAATTTGGGATTGTAACAACCCTGATTTGGTGATTTATCCCATTCCCTGGATCATATTACCCTACATCTTTAAATGGCAAGATTTGGCTCGATAAAGTTACTTGAGACTAGGATTTAGGTATCTTAGTGCACATGGGATTTGCACGGAACATCTTATAACAAGTCGCGTCTGTGTATACGCCACCATGTTTTCTCGGTTCGGAAGGTCTCTTCATTGCACGTGGGCGTGGACAGACCGTAGAGGATGCCCCCCCGCACGTTCGGTGTGGGACACTTCAGCGAATAATTGCTACCACCGCTTTTTAACGTGCTCAAATGTCACATAACACGTAGAACCGTGGTTTACGTAAGCAAGATATCAGCACGTAGAACCGTTTATTGGCCTCAATTTGCCCGACACTACACTGTATCGCACAACACGTCTTCTACCGACTTGACGTGACATCTACAGTGCTGCTGGTGGCCTGGTTGTTCCTGGTGGCCAATGGATGGGTGGGTGGGTGGACGCATCATCTACCCAATAGATTTTCAAATTTGGCCTTCTCGAGGCCCAAGAGCAGAGTTGTGTTCCGGAGTTACCGAATCCATTCCAGTACAGTAACCAGTTTCGCTGCGGGCCAATATTCCGGTGGCGACGCTCGCCACAGACGCCCTATGGGTTTCGGTTTCACGCCCTCAGCACAGCGCTCTCGCTATGGTGTCAGACCGGGTACAAGTGCAAAATAGCAGGATCGTCTGCAAATCGATCCCCGCAGTTGATGGGGCAGATCGATTGACGAAACGTGACGATCGCGACGCTGTAACGATCGCTACTGAGATTTAACAGATCTCCCGCGATCAGTGATCAGTCGCATTCACACACTGTAGCATGTTGACAGTGTAGTAAATACGGTAACCGAACCGCAAACCGATCTCGATTGACGATCGATCGTCTACTTTATGTGGTCCTTGCCTTTCTTCGGGATTCGGCAACAACCCTCAAGGCGTGCATCCACAGTGACCTAGGGAACTGCCTGTGAAAGTGGGGGCGGCGGGGGCGGGGGGGACGGGCAGGATCGTTGAGGACGCGTCACAAACCCCACCACCACCTAGGGATCGGTGTGTCTTCTTCTGTCAGTTGGAAGTTTTTTTCTCGCCTCTCTCGACTCTACTGTCACTCCCGTCCCACCCAAGACCCTCTGCTTCTCCCACCCACACTCCATCCAAGGATTTAGATGCCTTCTGCTATCCAGATGCCACCAGCATTAGGGAAAAAAACTTCGTCTGCTATTGTTAGCCTCGTCGTATCACAACCGAACGAGGTCCGAGTATATAGTACTACGCAAAAAAAGATCGTCTCACGCAAAAAATCGAGTACGCGAAAGTAGTCTTAGTACCGTCTCCAAAAAGTAAGCCGAAGTCATATCATGGATCCCCCGCCGCCCCCGCAACCAAGCCAGCATGATCAGGTTCGGTTTCCTCCGGCACCGAGCCAGCGGCGTCCGAGCCTACAACCGGGCCAACCGCCAGGCCAGCCGCCGCCATGGCCAGCGTACGAACCAGCGGCGATTCACAAGCTGCCGCGGGACGTGATCGCGAAGATCTTTTCGCATCTGTCCGTCGCAGACCGGTGCTCCGTGTCGCTCGTGTGTCGCCTGTGGTTTCGCTACGAGCGACTGCTGCCGCACTACATGCAGAGTGAGGTAAATGTGTGATCCGTCTTATCATCCTTTGGGACCCATTGTTTTGCCGCGTTGCGACATGCAGATGCAAGTACCCATGCTTTCCCTGTTCACACTCCCATCCGTACCTTGTGACAAGGCAAGGTAAATCGCGTCGAAACCCTAAAAATTAGAGCCAGCTCCTTTGCAACCAAGAGAATCCTCCCACTCCGAGAGGAGAATTAGGGCTGCCAAAAAACTTGAAGGGTGCTCACCCTGTTTGAACGTACGTCCTCCCCTCCTTCCCATCTCTCCCCAAACCCCACCCCTCTTTCCCCCATCCCGCTTCCCCTTCCCCCCGCATTCCCCGCAGGTGAGCGCAGCCGAGCTCCGCTTCGTGCTGCGCCGCTTCCCCCTCATCCGCACGCTGCGCATCCGCTTCTTCGGCCCCACCGTGCTTCCGGGGGCTCCGCGGGAGCAGCGCGCGGAGGACCGCCACCACAAGCGCCCGGGCGGGGGGAGAGTGCGGGCGGGGGGAGTAACAGGGGCTGGGGACGGCGGAACAGAAGCAGCGGGAGGCGGCACAAGGGCAGGGGGAGGCGGAACAGGGGCCGCTACTACTAGGGGAGGAGAAACGCCGCGCCAACCTCAAGCTGCCGCCGTGGCGGGCTCCGCTCCGCCTGCCCCCTCTTCTCCGCCTGCCCCCGTCCCCGCGTTTCCTATCAGCGACGCGGATGTTCTCGACGGGTCAGCTATCGTGCGGCTTCTCTCCCTCAACACGCCGTTGCAGATCCAACAGGTGGCCGGCACGCAGGTGGAATACCTCTCCATCTGTAACTGCGGGGAGTTTGAGGTTCACCAGGGGTTAAAAACATACATGTGTGATACGATCACCACGTGGGGGCGCAGTATTAGGCATATCGAGATGCACGACCCGATGCCGTTAGCGGACGAGTTTTGGAAATGCGTGGAGGGTCACCCGATGCTTAGCAAAGTGACGGTGTATAACTGCACGCACTTAACGGACGGGTTTCTGCGCCACGTGGCGAAGTGCGCCGCGCTGAAGGAGATCTCTATCGCCAGCTGTCCGAACGTGAGTGGCGGCGGGTTTGCTGAGCTGGCGGTGATGTGTCCCGGATTGGAGGGGATGGTTTTTGAGGATCTGACTCTTTCCGTTGTGCCACAAGCAAAGAAAGCGCGCAGTGCGCTGGGCGGAGGGCGGGCGGGCGGGGGAGGGGCGGGGGAAGGGGTGGACGAATGGGGAAGGAGAGGGGTTGGGGGAGGGGAAGGGGAAGTGAGGGCGGAGGGGAGGGTGGGGTTGGATGGGAGAGCAGCGGAAGGGGAAGCGGAAAGGATGCGGGGAGGGGAAGGAGAATGGAGAGGGGGCGGGGCAGGGGAGGATGTGCGCATGGGCGAGGGGGGGGAAGAGGCGGAGAGGGAGGCTGGCGGAATGGAGGATGGGGAGGGGCGTGAGGGGGACAGGGCGGATCAGGGCGCTGGGCGGGCGCATGAGGGTGAGCTGACAACTGAGGGGGACGGAGCAGTGAGGGTAAATGAGCCTGATGGGGCGGTAAGGACAAATGAGGCGGATGGGTGGGGTGGGGCAGTGAGGGAGAGTGGAGAGGCGCAAGCAGGAGCAGAGGGGAGGGAAGCAGCAGGAGGGCGGGGAGGCAATCTAGCTCCCTCCTTCCCCAACCTCTCCTCCTTGAAAATCATCAACTGTGCGCTCGATGCACATTGGCTGGAAATGTTTGCCGGGCAGCTGCCTGCCCTGCGGAGGCTGACCGTCATGGCCTGCCCGGACCCGCTCGACCGGTTTTTTCTGACCGCTGCCCGAACAGCTGCCCGGCTGGAGAGTGTTGAGATTGTTGACTGCGAGGGTGTGAGTGACCGTGGCATTGTGGCTCTCCTGAAAGGCTGCCCGACAATCAACTCCCTGACTCTGAGTGGGTGCGATGCAGGGCAGGGAAACGGAGGAGACGGAGGAGGAGAAGGGGGAGGAGGAAGAAGAGGAGGGAGAGGGGGAGGAGGGGTGGGAGGAGCGGGTGGGGGTGGCAGTAACGGAGCGGCGAGAGTGACGGATGAGAGTTTACGGGCGGTGGTGGTGCATGGAGTGGGGTTGCGATCGCTGCACCTCAAGTGGAGCCCCGGCTTTACTGGCCTGCAGCTTGCTCGGGATGTGCTGGGCTCTGTTCGTCCGGTGTTGTCTGCTCATGAGTCTGCTCCTGTGTCGCTGTCACCTCGTGGCTTGGATTCCCTTGGGTTACCGTCAAATGTGGTGCAAACCCTTTCGCCACAGTCACATGTGCTGCAAACGCATGTGGTACAAACGCATGTGTTGCAAACGCATGTGTTGCAGTTGCACGATGTGCCCACACATGGTATACACACACATGCCGCACAGTCACCTGACATGCACACACATCCCTTACAATCACCTGAGACACACGCGCACCCCTTACAATCACCTAACACACACGCACTTCCCTTACCATCCCCAGAGACGCACGTGCACCCCTTACAGTCACCTGACACACACAGTTATGACGTACAGTCACACCAGTTACAGTCACACCGGCTACAGTCACACGTGCTGCCGCTGCTGCAGCTGGGGTGGAGTGGGCTGGAGAGTCTGCACCTAGAGGGGTTGGATGGGCTCTCCGATTCCTTCCTGCTGCTCGCTGCTGCCACCTGCTCCCGCCTCTCCACAATCGCCGTGGAATATTGCAGGTAAGCTGTGGTGTATTGTGGTGTAATGCGGTGCTGCTGGGTGCAGTTCGGCTCAGTGCGGTGCTGGGGTGCGCTGGGGTGGAGCCGGCTGGAGAGTCTGCAGCTGGAGAGGCTGGATGGGCTCCCCAATACCTTCCTTTCCCCACACTGCTCTCACATTTCACATGCCCATCCCTCCCTTTCTCCCTCCCACCCTCCCGCACTCCTTCCCCCCTGCTGCCCGCCCACAGGGAGATCTCAGAGGCAGGACTCATCCCCCTGGTGCAGTCGTGCCACAGCCTGCACCACATGTGCTTCTCTGGCTTCCTTTCCTTCCGTCCCTTTCACTCACTCTATCCTTCCACATGGTCATCCCTCTCCTTGTCACAGCCACAGCCTGTAGCACATGTGCTTGTCTGGCATCTCTTCCCTCTGAGCCCTTTGCTCACTCCATCCTCTCAAATGTCTCCCTTCCCTTCTCTGCTGCCCGCCCACAGGGAGATCTCAGAGGCATGCCATCGCCTGCAGGACTCAATCTCTCTAATCCAGGCATGCCACCGCTTGCAGCACATCTGCTTCTCTGGCTTCTTTTCTGTTCGAGCCTCTCACTTCATTTCCCCCCGCTATCCTCTCACATGCCCAATCCTCCCTCCCTCACAGGGAGATCTCAGAGGCGGGGCTCATCGCATCTCTCTAATCCAGTCATGCCACCGCCTGCAGCACATGTGCTTCTCTGGCTTCCTCTCACATGTCCATTCTTTCTTCCCTTCCTGCACACCTCCTCCCTCTCCTCTCCCACAGGGAGATCTCAGAGGCGGGGCTCATTCCCCTCGTGCAGTCTTGCTTTCTCTTACCTTCCTTATCCCCCACTGTTCTCAAACGCCCGTTGCCCCCCCTCCCTGCTTTCCGCCCACAGGGAGATCTCAGAGGCGGGGCTCATTCCCCTCGTGCAGTCATGCCACCGCCTGCAGCACATGTGCTTCTCTGGCTTCCGTGCCACCCACCTCTCTGACCTCCTCCTTCACACCATCGCCTCGCACTGCCCGCTGCTCTCCACGCTCTCCCTCCGCGCCTGTAACGGGGTTACCACACACGGCGTCGTGCGCGTGCTGCAGGGGTGCGGGCGAATCGAGAGGTGCCAGCTGGCGCGGTGTCAGGAGGTGGATGAGGAGTGGGTGGTGAGGGTGGCGAGGGAGGTTGGGGAGGCTCGGGCTAGAGGAGGAAGACGAGCAGGAGGAGCAGGAGGGAGCAGTAGAGGTGCGGGGGGAATGCCCGTGATTGAGATATCCTGATCTCGCGGCCTCCTTGCAGAGTGCCGTAAAAGCTTCCGCGCCAAGTGTAGTTTAGGTGAGCTGTAGTTTTCCCTTAGCAATTGTGCAAATTAGGTTAGTTGTTTTGATTAGGTGTTAGTGAGTATCTTTGTCTGCATATTCAGCAAGAATTAGCTCAAAGTGTACTTTTCATTGTGCAGGCTGCACTGACTCCTCACTCACTCACTCACTGACTCACCATTTTGCTACCGTTCACTCACAGTATGACCCTTACTGCAGTTCTACTCTTGCTCCCCCATACGACGCCACCTGTTCCCCATACGCTCAGACCCCTCGTCCTCATCCCACCACCATCCCCTACCTATGTTACAGCATCGTCTACCTATGTTCCGGCTGACAGCATCACCCTTACTGCAGTTCTACTCTTGCTCCCCTCCCCCATACGACGCCACCTGTTCCCCATACGCTCAGACCCCTCGTCCTCATCCCACCACCATCCCCTACCTATCTTACAGCATCCTCTACCTATGTTCCGGCTGACAGCATCACCCTTACTGCAGTTCTACTCTTGCTCCCCTCCCCCATACGACGCCACCTGTTCCCCATGCGCTCACAACCCTCGTCCTCATCCCACCACCATCCTCCATGCATTTTACCACTTCCGGCTGACAGCATTATCCTCACTGCAGCTCTACTCTTGCTCCCCCATGTGCCAACTGTTTCCCATAATCTCAGAACCCTCACTTGCTCTAATCCCACCATCCCCCATGCTTCTTTGCAACTTCCGGCTGACAGCATTACCTTCACACTACAGCGTTTACTCTTGCTCCCCCATGCGCCAACCAACCATTCCCCATGCGCCAACCAACCATTCCCCATGCGCCAACCAACCATTCCCCATGGGCCAACCAACCATTCCCCATGCGCCAACCAACCATTCCCCATTAGCTCGAAGCGCCTTTGAGGCGCCTCAAAACGCTGACAGCATGACCTCCTAAGCGCTCAAGTACATCTCTACTCTACTCTTGCTCCCCCCTCCCCATATGCCATCTGCTCTCCCCCCATATGCCATCTGCTCTCCCCCCATATGCCATCTGCTCTCCCCCCATATGCCATCTGCTCTCCCCCCATATGCCATCTGCTCTCCCCCCATATGCCATCTGCTCTCCCCCCATATGCCATCTGCTCTCCCCCCATATGCCATCTGCTCTCCCCCCATATGCCATCTGCTCCCCCCCATATGCCATCTGCTCTCCCCCCATATGCCATCTGCTCTCCCCCCATATGCCATCTGCTCTCCCCCCATATGCCATCTGCTCTCCCCCCATATGCCATCTGCTCTCCCCCCATATGCCATCTGCTCCCCCCCATATGCCATCTGCTCTCCCCCCATATGCCATCTGCTCTCCCCCCATATGCCATCTGCTCTCCCCCCATATGCCATCTGCTCTCCCCCCATATGCCATCTGCTCTCCCCCCATATGCCATCTGCTCCCCCCCATATGCCCTCTGCTCTCCCCCCATATGCCATCTGCTCTCCCCCCATATGCCATCTGCTCTCCCCCCATATGCCATCTGCTCCCCCCCATATGCCATCTGCTCTCCCCCCATATGCCATCTGCTCTCCCCCCATATGCCATCTGCTCTCCCCCCATATGCCATCTGCTCTCCCCCCATATGCCATCTGCTCTCCCCCCATATGCCATCTGCTCTCCCCCCATATGCCATCTGCTCTCCCCCCATATGCCATCTGCTCTCCCCCCATATGCCATCTGCTCTCCCCCCATATGCCATCTGCTACCCCCCATATGCCATCTGCTCTCCCCCCATATGCCATCTGCTCTCCCCCCATATGCCATCTGCTCTCCCCCCATATGCCATCTGCTCTCCCCCCATATGCCATCTGCTCTCCCCCCATATGCCATCTGCTCCCCCCCATATGCCATCTGCTCTCCCCCCATATGCCATCTGCTCTCCCCCCATATGCCATCTGCTCTCCCCCCATATGCCATCTGCTCTCCCCCCATATGCCATCTGCTCTCCCCCCATATGCCATCTGCTCCCCCCCATATGCCATCTGCTCTCCCCCCATATGCCATCTGCTCTCCCCCCATATGCCATCTGCTCTCCCCCCATATGCCATCTGCTCTCCCCCCATATGCCATCTGCTCTTCCCCCATATGCCATCTGCTCTCCCCCCATATGCCATCTGCTCTCCCCCCATATGCCATCTGCTCTCCCCCCATATGCCATCTGCTCTCCCCCCATATGCCATCTGCTCCCCCCCATATGCCATCTGCTCTCCCCCCATATGCCATCTGCTCTCCCCCCATATGCCATCTGCTCTCCCCCCATATGCCATCTGCTCTCCCCCCATATGCCATCTGCTCCCCATAAGCTTAAAACTCCATCTCGAATCCCGCCATACCACCAGCCAGACTATGTTGGGCATTTTCAGACTGTTCACTGCGTTGAGTGTGATCTGTACATGCACACAGTGTCCTGATCTGATCTCAACGCGGTGACTTTTAAGTCGACTCAAAAGTCACTTCAGACTGTTCACTGCGTTGAGTGTGATGTGATCTGCACATGCACACAGTGTCCTGATCTCAACCCCCGCCGCACTCCACCCTGCCCTGTCCTGTCCTCCTCCCCCCTCTCCCCTCCTCCCCCCCCCTCGGTCCTGCCCCCGGCAACTCCCCCTCCGGCCCTGCCCACGCCCCCACCCCCCCTGCCCTGCCCCCTCCCTCCCCTGCCCCCGCCCCCTCCCCCCCATGCCCTGCTCCCGCCCCCTTCCCCCCGTGCCCTGCCCGCTCCCTCCCCTGCCCCAGCCCCCTTCCCCCCGTGCCCTGCTCCTGCCCCCTCCCCCCCCCTGCCCTGCTCCCGCTCCCTCCCCCGCCTGCCCTGCCCCCGCCCCCTCCCCCCCTGCCCTTCCCCCGCCCCTGGCCCCAGCCCGCGTAGGCCCTGTGCTTGGCCCCTACCCTACCCTACCCTACCCTACCCTACCCTACCCTACCCTACCCTACCCTACCCTACCCTACCCTACCCTACCCTACCCTACCCTACCCTACCCTGCCCTGCCCTACCCTACCCTACCCTACCCTACCCTTCCCTACCCCTGCCTGACCCGTATCCCTGTTTTCACCCCCATCATCACCACCCACCTGCTAGCTCTGTCCCCATCCGCCTCAGACCTAGCCTTGCCTGGCCTAGCCGGGCCAGTCTGCATTCCCATCTTCTAACCCCATCACCATCACCATCACCATCACCATAACCACACTCTGCCAACTCATCCAGCACATGAGTCTCCGGGATAACCTTTGAGGTGACTCAGTATGAACCCAGCCTTACCCAGCCCTAGCCAACCCTACCCAGCCCTACCCAGCCCTACCCAGCCTAGCCTTGCCTGGCCTAGCCGAGGCTACCAGCATTCCCATCTTCAAACCCCATCACCATAACCACACTCTGCCAACTCATCCAGCATGGGAGTTATCGAGATGACCTTTGAGGTGTCTCAGGATGAACCCAGCCTTACCCAGCCCTAGCCAACCCTACCCAGCCTTACCCAGCCCTAGCCAACCCTACCCAGCCCTACCCAGCCTAGCCTTGCCTGGCCTAGCCTTGCCTGGCCTAGCCTTGCCTGGCCTAGCCGAGCCTACCTGCATTCCCATCTTCATACCCCATCACCATCACCATCACCATCACCATCACCATCACCACACTCTCCCAACTCATCCAGCACACGAGTCTCTGAGATGACCTTTGAGTTGACTAAGGATGAACCCAGCCCTACCCAGCCCTACCCAGCCCTACCCAGCCCTACCCAGCCCTACCCAGCCTTACCCAGCCCTACCCAGCCCTACCCAGCCTTACCCAGCCTTACCCAGCCCTACCCAGCCCTACCCAGACATAGCCTTGCCTAGCCTTCCCTACCTGCATTCCCATCTTCATACCCCATCACCATCACCACACTCTGCCAACTCATTCCAGCACGGAATGAATCTTGAGTTGTTCTGACTGGGCTCAGATAATGACCTTGACTTTTCAGTCACTTCAATTGTCGCCCTGACCAGGTCCTATCCTCAGCCCCAGCCGTAGCCTAGCCTAGCTCGCCTTATTTCCCCATATTCACCATCATCACCTCACCCTATCAGATGCATGATTGGGTGGCTTGAGTTAGCATACTACCGTGCAACATTAGCAGACTCACATACGGTACCGAGAGACTTCTGCTGGTGAGGCCAAAAGCATATCCCTGTTGTTTTCAGCCTGGTTTGTATGAAAGTACGGTATGGTATCATTTTCAGAACAACCAGCAATCATCTAATCGCATGGTATCAAGCTACAGTAAGATATGCATGCCATTGTAAATTGCTACTAGCTACACTAAAAGAAGCTAAGATCCAAACAGAGGATGGATCTTGTATGAAGATTCTACAAAATCGGGGAGTATTACGAGGTGTACTGCTCGGTTGAGAAGGCTAGTTGCGGGGAGGTTTTCCCTTCTCCCCCTTACCTGCCTTCTTCTTCCCCCGTTGCTCCCACTGGCGCTGATGGCCTGGCGGAAGCACAGTTGCGCCGGTGCCCTTGCGCAGCTGCCCGCGCACAGCCCCCTCGCTGAAATTCGGGGTTGCGACAACCAGGTAAAAGCTGCCCGGGTCAGCCAGAATTTTATCGATCACGGTGGAAAGGGCCTCGCCAGAGGCCGTGCGAATGTTGGCGACGTCTTCCCACACTCCAGTCGTCGCATAGCTGAGATGGTCGTCCGCGGCCTCGGCGACAGCCGCCTCCGTCGAGTTCTCTGCGACGGACGACGCGAGAACGACGTCACCAGCCTGCGTGCGAACAACGCCCGTCGTGTTCACCCAATCAGCTCCGGCGAAATCGACCACCACCGGCCCAGTCGCGTTGCTTCCGCCGCTGTTAATCGTCGCACCCATCGGCAGCTGGGCCGCAGACACGCGCCGCACGGACAGGATATACCTGACGTTCATCTTCGCGCCGCTCTTATAGACGGTCAGGATCGCGTTGCCCGTTGCGTTCTCGTCGCCGCCGGCTGCGGTGATGACTGACGATCCGCGGAGAACGGTCCCCACCTTCCCCACCTGCTTCCCCAGCGGCTTCTTCTTGTTTTCCGCCGAGCTGGGGCTGGGGGCGACCGCGGGACCAGCGGCGGGGCTGGGGGCGGGATGCGCCTTTGGTCCGCGGATTGCGCCTGCGCCGCCTGCGCCCTGCTGCTTTCCTCCTGCCGCCTGCTTTCCGCCTGGCGCCTGCTTTCCACCTGGCGCCTGCTTTCCGCCCGGTGCCTGCTTTCCGCCCGGGGCCTGCTTTCCGCCCGGCGCCTGCTTTCCGCCCGGAGCCTGCTTTCCGCCGGGAGCAGCCTTACCCTCGGGGGCCTTCCCCTTGGGGTTGGGTGCATTCACCTTGCCCTTGGGGTTGGCGGCAGTGACCTTGTGGCCGGCGGGACCTCTCGCTTTCGGGTTCGGCGCGGCGGCGGTGCCGGCGAGGTTTCCGGAGGGAGCGGGAGTTCCGGGACTGTCGGTAGGTTCCAAGGTTTGTTGCTCGAAGTCGGGGACGGGATCGGTGATAATGACGGGATTGGTAGTGACGTCGGGGTTTGCGGGGTCGGCGGGGTTGGCGGGGTCGGGGGGGATGGCGGGGTCGGCGGGAATGGCGGGGACTGCTTGGAGCATTCTGGCGTCAGAGTGGCCTGAAGGACGGGAGAGCGAGCATCGTATTTACGAAGCATGGGAGAGTTAACAGGGAACGGGATTCGAGCAATGGCATGTTCGGAGAGATCCGATGGGAGTTTGGTTCTTACATGCGTCGAGATTGACATGTGTGGAAACCATTGTTGAGAACTGGAATACCGTATTTCGGTGACCGAATGAGAGGGTCTTACATGAGAGGGCGAGAATCGCCAGAAGCGCCCAGAGCAAACGAGTGGCCGTCATAGCTAGCGTAGAGGAGCTGTCGCACGTGAAATGCTGGCGGTGACGACGAGAAGAATGCCAAAAAGGTGGCAGGGTTGAGAGAAACGCTGGGAATGAATTTCGTTGCGAGAATGATTGTCGAAAGAATGTGTTGTTGGTATGCTGACAGTGGTCGCGGGTTTTGTAGGGCTTCCATGTCCATTCCATTCCACATGCCATATGGGCACATGTGGCAGACGGTCGGTGCTGGGGAGAGGGGAGGAGAATCCCGCATCCAAGCCGCGACATTGGAATGTTACGAAATGCGGCTCGGTGGAGAGTGCGATTCAATCAGCGCGAACCGACCAACTTGCCGGAGGGCGGGTAACGCCGACGGGTGCTATTGAAAATTCTTTTGTCTTGAGCTGGTCTCGCGGGCAGTTTTTTGCTGTCAGAAGGGTGTTGTGACCGATAGTGAGCGACGGTGTCCAGGTGACCAAGACTTCGTCGCAATTTCGCCCGTCGCACTGTGATGCCAGCTGTGTGGAGCGAAATTTGTCGAGGAACCTGAACGCAAAATCTCTTCCCTCCGCGAACCTGAACGGTCACAGGGGACGGTGCTAAATATTTTGATGCACGAAAGAATAACGTTTCGGTGGACCTCCTGAACATTCCTTCCGGCCAGGACACCCCTCGTCTCTGCTGCTTTCTGAACAAAGATTTCGACTGCTGGGACCCGTTGGAAACTCTGGCGAAATCGCTTGGGCGATGTGGCCGTCAACTCAAGAGGAATTTCTTGACCCAAAACCTGGAGGAATTTCTCGAAGCCAAAAGAAGATCAAGAGCAGAAATGCATAGCTTCTGACAACTTCGGCATAAGGTGATCAAATTTTGCATTTGCAACTATACACCCAATAGCCTAAAGTACTACAGCGCAAGTACCTGCATTTCTCAATGTTACAAATCATCTCAGCACCCACTATCTCGTCAATCGTCGACAGAGACTAACGCATGCGCACACAATGCGGCTGGAAACTGGACAGGCGAAATATAATCACTCAACCATAGCACAGCCAAATTGGGGAGCACGCGTGCCCTATTTTTTGTTTCCAATGTTAATGCTTATTAAAAAATGGTAGTCACGGTGAAATCCCATTCCGAGGATCGTTTGTCAAGTCATTGAAAGTTTCCACTCTTCTTCGGGCCGCTGCAAAGACGGAATAGTCCACTATTGCCTGGTGGACGTTGCATTCGTGAAGGCCATTCAATGGACGGAGGGGGGGGGGAGGAGGGGGGGGAACCATTACCATATAGACATCCCTACATTGTTGGAATGCAAATGACATCACTTACCGGCGTAAGTTGTGTAAGGCATCCAATGAAAGGAAAATAACAAAATGTTCTCAAGGAAGTAGGGTATAAAGAATGATCATCTCACAGAACACAACAAACCTTCCAGCACTTCTTGTCTCGGCCGTTCAACCCACCATGCCCTCACGTCCATGTGAGCATCAATGCCACCTCCCCAGGCCCTCCATGCCACAGCATAAGAGCACTCTCATCAAAGCTGCTCTTGTCAACACCCATGCATGCACATATTTGCCTCACTCTCACAACCCACCATGCCCTCACCTCCATGGAAAAATCAGATGCCACCTCCCCCTGCCCCTACATGGGTTTTGAGGGCGCTCAGAGCTCACCTCCATACAGGCATCAGATGTCACCTCCCCCTGTCCCTCCACGAGTCTCGAGGCCTTTCAGAACTCACCTCCATGTAAGAATCAAATGCCACCCCCCCCCCACCCCCCCACCCCTCTCTTTGAGTGTCGAGGCCTCAGAACTCACCTCCATGTACGAATCAAATGCCACCTCCCCCTGCCCCTTCATGAGGGCCAGTTGCGCCCTCCACCAGTCGCTGCCTTCCCCCCACAGGTGCGCATAATCCCCCAGCATGTGCACTCGGTACAGCCCCCTTCCGCCCCCTCCACCCCCTCCCTTTCCTCCGCCCTCTTGTCCCCCTTGCCCCCCGTCCCCCCCTTGCCCCTCGTCTCCCACTTGCACCGCTTGGCCCCCACCGCTCTGGTGCTCCCCTTGCCCTCTTTCCCTTCCTCCGCCCACTTCGTTCCTTTGCCCGCCTGGACTCGCGCGCAGCGGATCAAAGAAGGAGGGGGCCTCGTCACTCGCAATAAACACCGACCTCCCGGGGGGGATGAGTTGGGGGAGCTTCTGTGCTAGGCTGAGTTGGGGGTGCAAGCAAGCAAAGGGAGGGCAGAGGGAGGACGCAGGGAGGGTGGTGCGACCATCTTTGGGCGAGATGGTTGAAGAAGGAGGGGGCAAGGGGGCCTGGTCACTCGCGATGTACACCGACTGCCCGGGGGGATGAGTCGGGGGAGCTTCTTGCCAGG